TAAAAGCTCCCAAATATTTTCAACATTTTTGGCCTTTGGAACGGAGTGTGTTGCTAAAGCAGCCCAAGGACATTGTGAGTTTTAGCCCAGAAACTGGCTACTTTTCTTTGGAGTTTTTTTACCCTAACTTCCTAGCCAATTCCTACCTCCTATTCTTATCACACCATCCTCTGAAGAGGTTACCCAAATTGCCAATAGGGAATTGGGATGCAGACTGCTCTGGCTTCTTCCATGCTGAACAGGCACACAGTCAATTGGAGTGCCCTTTCAGTGGAGTACCCTTTCAGGCTCCCAAATTACATAAGTCTTATCTCTAAGGGGAAAAGAATGTCCTTGAATTGTGAATAGGAGATGTGAAGGAGAAATAAAAGCAAGAGTAATCAGCATTACAAGTTCTAGACAGGGAACTAGAAAAAAGAACAGGGCAGTTTTCAAATGTTCATATGAGAGTCCATTGGAATTTCTTGACAAGGGCTTCCAGAAGCATCCCTCTATTGGGTTCCTCCTCATTTTTCTTTTGTATTCCAAGTCTGCCAGTCAATTTTAGTTAATATGTTCACTTTCAGTGCCTTAAATGTATTTTTACATTATTTCATGCTGATCTGGCTCTGGTCTTTGTTGATAAAAGATCTGATATTATTGCAATTTTTCTGCCTTTATAATGAGTTGGAATTTTTCCTTGACAGAATTAGGTATTGATTTTTTTTTCTTGCTATTTTTCTCATGTTGCCTATGACTTGGAATGCAGAAGACTGTTAATATTTATCTGGGCTTTCTAAGTGACTCTCATGTGATTGCATATCCATTCTTTTTCTCTATTTTTCATATATTTTCTACTCTACTCTTATTGAATAAATTTTCTCACTGTTTTGATTTCAGCTGTTTCTTTTACTACATAGATTTTATTTTTGTTCACTTGCATGTTTCTCAATGTTGTTGGAAATTTTCTTCATGCTTATTACATGTTCTTTATATATCTCTGAATTTGTGATTGTCTCAGCCTTATTTTCCATATTGAAATGAAGTCTTCTTTTTTGCTTTCCCTGGAGAACACAACTCTTAGTAGACATCAGAGAATTTATAATGCAGAGAAACCCTTCAAATGTGAAGAGTGTGACAAGTCCTTTACTCGAATGTCAAGTCTTAGAAGACATCAGACAATGCATACTGGAGAGAAACTCTACAAATGTAAAGAATGTGACAAATCCTTTAGTGGAATGTCATATCTTAGATTACATCAGCAAATTCATACTGGAGAGAAACCCTACAAATGTGAAGAATGTGATAGGTCCTTTACTTTCCTGTCAAGTTTTCGATTACATCAGCGAACACATACTGGAGAGAAACCCTACAAATGTGAAGAATGTGACAAATCCTTCATTTCTGTGTCAAGTTTTCGATTACATCAACGAAGACATACTGGAGAGAAACCCTACAAATGTGAAGAATGTGACAAATCCTTTACTGAGGCCTCACATCTTAGAAGGCATAAAAGTGTTCATACTGGAGAGAAACCCTACAAATGTGAAGAATGTGACAAGTCCTTTAGTGGAATGTCATATCTTAGGTTACATCAGCAAATTCATACTGGAAAGAAACCCTACAAATGTGAAGAATGTGGCAGGTCCTTTACTATGAGCTCAACACTTAGGAATCATTACAGAATTCATACTGGAGAAAAACCTTACAGATGTGAAGAATGTGACAAGTCCTTTACTTGGATGGTAAGTTTTCGATTACATCAGCGAAGACATACTGGGGAGAAACCCTACAAATGTGAAGAATGTGACAGGGCCTTTTCCGAGGCCTCACATCTTCGGAGACATAAAAGTGTTCATACTGGAGAGAAAACCTATAAATGTGACGAGTGTGACAAGGCCTTTACTTCCATGTCCTATTTTAGATTACATCAGCGAATTCATAATAGAGAAAAACATTACAGTTGTGAAAAATGTGACAAAACCTTTACTTCCATGTCATATCTTAGATTACATCAGAGAATTCATACTGGAAAGAAACTCTACAGATGTGAAGAGTGTGACAAGACCTTTTCTTACATGTCATATCTTGAATTACATCAGAGGATTCATACTGGAGAGAAACCCTACAGATGTGAAGAATGTGGTAAGGCCTTTCCTTACATGTCATATTTTCGATTACATCAGAGAATTCATACTGGAGAGAAACCCTACAATTGTGAAGAATGTGGAAAGTCCTTTAGTCGAATGTCACATCTTAGAGTACATCAACGAATACATACAGGGGAGAAACCCTACAGATGTCAAGAATGTGACAGGTCCTTTACTGAGAGCTCAAAACTTAGGAGACATTACAAAATTCATACTGGAGAGAAACCCTACAAATGAAAAGTATGTGAGAAGTCCTTTACTCATATTTCAACTCTTAGAGAACATCAAAGAATGCATAATAAAGGGAGATAATACAAATATAAGTGATTTGGCAGTTCCTTTAAGCATATATCAAATGGTAGATGCTGTCAAAAATTCTATAATGTAGAGACAGTGTACAATTGCACAGAATGTGGTACATCCTTTACTCTGGGCTCAATCCTTAGGAAACAAAACAGAATCCATACTAGAGGAATATGTTTAGAAGTATGGAGAATGAAACATTTATATTTATATATTGCAAAACTTCATAGTATACTGAAGAAAAACTTAGAATTAAACACAAAATTGCAGAATCTATGATCAAAATGTATTTCTAATTCAATAAAAATAATTCATAACTTGGAGAAATTAGAAACACAAAGAATGTGAGAAAGCCTTTATTTTCCCATCAATATTGTTTAATATCACAGAATCCTTATTTTAGAGAAAACCTACAGATTAAAAAAAATCAGCCACCATTTACAAATGGCTCCCATCTTAGGAAACATCAGAGATTTCATGGTGAAGAGGAACCTCACAAAATCCTAAGATCAATAACTCATTATTTATTATCAAAGAATAAATAGTGTGACCAAAACACGTAAGTATTAAGGAGTTGCCATATAGTCTGTAAATAGCATGTGAATATGTGAAAATGTTCATGCATATATGCAAGTTGGAAAATCCTGAAGTGTATAAAGCATCTTAATTCATATAACAAAATGAGAGCAATATCTATCGAAATATCAAATCTCCTAAACTCTGGAAAACCCATAATAAAATAATCCAGGACACTGTAGAGTCTCAATAATGTGCTAAGCTAGAACAGTATAGAAAAAAGTTTCAAAAATCACATCAATTATTTCTGTGGAATGATATGTGATATTTTGATAGACATAATTTTTAAAATTAGAAACATTTGTATTGCCCAAATTGGAGCTTTGCGAAGGACTAATTCTGTAGGCTAATTTGACTCTCACCTAAATTCATATTTTCTGATTTATAAAGGATATTGTGATAACTTATTGCAACTCATGACTCAGAATTGAAGGAGTATATTGTCCATTAGCAATGCTTCATTAGTGCCAATCGTTCCATGTTAATTCATGGACACAGGAAATTTCCTTACAGTAGGTGTGCTTTCTTTTTGATGAGTAAAAATGCATTTTACTCATGGTGTATGTTTGTTTGGCATGTTTCTACTATAGTAAAAGGAAGGGAGAATTCTGAGTATTAGAAAGCAATAATTTCCAATGGCTCAGAGAGGAGAATAATCTACCAAGTACGTGAATTTAGTGCTGAATTAAACAATAGAAAGAATGGTAAATGTTTTCAGTATCACTTGGTGTGGTAACAATAGTAGACAGAGAAAAATGAAAATGAATCTTACACGATTGTACCGTCCTATTACATTGTAGCCCAGGTCTTGGAATATGACAGATAATGATAAGATTGAAGACATTGTGTGCCGAGCCAGGGTATTATGATAAATAAAAGTATTATGCAGTGTGTGGTGGCGCACGCCCTTAGTTCTAGCACCCAGGAGGCAGAGACAGGCGGATCGTTGTGAGTTCAAGGCCAGCCTGGTCTACATAGTGAGTTCAGGTCAGCTGGGACTACACAGAGACCCTGTCTCAAAAAGACACACACACACACACAAGAGAAAAAGTATTATGTAAGATATTATGTTATTATATTTACACAAAAATGTATACTGATATATGTGTAGATAGAATCATATCTGTGGGAAAATTAGTTGTATTCCCAGCACTGTAGCTTTTTGAAAATTGTACAATATTTGTATGTTTAATATGGAAATAAATTCAATCTGTCTTGCTTTCAAAGGATTATTTGACAATTTCAACAGTTGCTTCATGAGAGCTGATGATTCCATAGTGCACTATCATGGCATCATTGATCTTAGTTGTGTTATGAATTATTAATGTCTCATGCAAAATTCATGAATGACATCAGAAGCTTGATTTACTTTTTAATTGAGTAGCACTAGGAATGCAGTGCAGTGTAAAGTAGCAGGGTTGGGCTTCATTTCTCTGCTAAGTCAGAAAAGCCAATCCTGAATATCTGAAATGAAGTAGATTTTGAGTTGGTCAGTAATGAGATGAATACATGGCAAGTCCATTGAATTACTAAAAACATTTTAAGCTGGGTGTGGTGGTGCATGCCTTTAATCCCAGCAGGGGCATGCGGAGTTTGAGGCCAGCCTTGTCTTCATAGCAAATTTAGGCCAGCTGGGGCTATAGGGAGACCCTGTTTCAAATAGACAAAAAACAAACAAACAAACAAACAAAAAACAAAAAACATTTTAGTAGGTGTGGTTGGATGTTGTTGATACAGTTTATGTATAAAAACTAAATGAAGACAGAAAAGAGAAATATAATCTTAGAAAAGTTACAGGTATATTTACATGTTCATCTATGAATATTTTAACATTTTAGTGTTGCTCTTTGGAAATGGTATTTAATGACATGAAGTCATATGTTAATTTAAATAAATCTTTTTTTTAGTTCTTTAATCTACATTTTGTCTAAAATACATTGAATGCATTTTAAAACAATGTGAAAGCTGTATATAAGTTGATTTTGTTTTAATAAATAAAGCATATGTTTAATGATGTAACATGGAAACATTACATCTCTATTCCCTCAAAACAGAGACTATCACATCTTATTTCACCTGACGATAAGTGAAGGCTAATACAAGGGTAATCTTTCAATTTGGGTAAATTAGTGGATTACTTTTTCCCAGGGATCTGTTCCTTAGGGACTTACCCTCAGATAATTTGCATGATCTATTTATTAGGGATTGTATTAGAGACATTATGGTAACTATAATGAAAATGACATGGCAATGTCATTGAAATCCTGTTATGAGTATCGATGTATTTAAAAAGTGTCACTGTTTTTCTTTGCATCTATCCACCCACCCCCTTTTTGGGACAGCTGAACACATGGATTTGTCTTTTCCTTTACAGTTGTAAGTCCAATTCACTGCTGGGAGATGCTCGCACTCTCGGCTCCCAGGCCCGCTCACCTTACGATCAACTTATCTATACAATATTCCTCCAAACTACAGTTTAGGGAATAAAGATATTTATTTGGGCTTGCTAACAGAGCTTACAATGGTGAGGAGGGGTACTTACAAGGGCATAGAGAGCCTTGGGTTTTTTCCTCTACATGTTGGCGAGTCTTTCTGATCTGTGGCTGCTGGCCTGACAGCCCAGGATTGCAAAACCCCCTCCTCCCCTCTTACGTCTCTCTCCTTAATCCCACCCCCTCATGCAGTTAAGGTTGAGTGATTGGGTAGGAGGGGTGAGCGTCTCCCTCTCATTCTATGGAGAGTCTTAGGGTTCAAACAGTTTGCAGTGAACAGGAGAGACAGCAGAGAAGGCATCTGTCCGTTTGTTTGCCATCTGGAGGACATGCCTATCCAACAGCATTGAAAGAAAGGTCTAAACATGTGAGACTGCGTAAAGTGTAAGACTAAGACAACATAAAGGGCTGCTTACATGACCTTCTACAATATGAAATCAGACAGAAATTCACAATGGTTACGGTGTGAGTGAAATTCCTCTGCTGTGACAAAGTACCTGAAATATGAAATAGACTTTTTTTTTCTCACTGTTCCTAAGTTTTGATCCATATATATTTGTTTCTATTGATATGGCTTATGGAGAAATAAAATGTAGGTTTTATTTTAACATTTTAAAATGTTAACCATTTGGCAAAGGGGACAGCTCTCATCCTGAAGGAAGGAGAGAGAGGAACAAAGATTGGGACAGAGATAGAGAAGGTCTTTCCAAGGGCAGAGACAAAATATGTGCTTCGATATTGTACATCAGTTACCTACTTCCTCCAATCATGGCTGAATGCAGGAACATCTATGTAGTCATGGTTACATCCCTCATGATCCCATCGTTTTTCCATAAATCCTTCTTCTGAATCCTGGTGCCCTTGACCCAAATATCCAATACATGAGACTCTGGGAGTCCACTTTGTAACCTTTACTAAAGGTTCATGACTTATTAGTGTACAAAACATTGGAAATGATGAAAGGTAACTTATTTGATCTGCTATAGATGCAACACTGTCTTAAATATTCCATCCCTCAGTCTGATTTTAGCTAGTATTAAATGCCTAGCATTAGTGGCCCTGAGTTTGACTCTACACAGTACCTAAAAGGTCACATATCTCACTGCTTCTGAATCTCCCTATGCAAGTCCTGTGTGGTTTACTTGTGTATTATACATGTGAGAACTAGTACATATTTTACATTAGAAAATCATGTAGTTCCTTGACAACATCAGTGATTTTAAATGACTTCATGTGGCAGAACAGTGCTTAGGATTGAACTTGGAAAGATAAACTGCTCTATAGAGAGCACACTAATGTCAACATTCTTTAAAAGACATGCTCAGTATTCTCTCCTCAGAAGTGAAAAAAAATCCATTTTTTTCTTTAGTTTTCATTTTCAAGGGGTATCATGAAGATGATTGATTTCTACAGGGCAATCATTCAGAATTTCAATTCTGAATGTTTTATTTTATTTTTTTTTATTTTTTGTCTTTTTGAGACAGGGTCTCCCTGTAGCCCCAGCTGGCCTGGAACTCACTTTGTAGACCAGGGTGGCCTTGAACTCACAGAGATCTGTCTGCCTCTGCCTCCCAAGTGCTGGGACTACAGGCATGCACCACCACGCCCGGTTTCAATTCTGAATGTTTTAATTCCTCACTTTCTATAGTTTTTCTTTCTTCCTTTTGACTCCTATCTGCACAGGCATCAGGCCACTATTCCTTCTATGTATTTATTTGTCTAGGTTTACAGCTATTTATTATTGCAGCTTTCTTGAGCACTTTGGAGTGCCCACTCGTGTTTTATGAATTCAACACTGACTATGTCACTGACATATCTTGAATCAAATTCAGTGTTCTCATAAATTAACTCAGGATGTTAGATCCTTAGGTAATTGGAATATATAACTCCTAGTCACAATGCCTTTCCTAAACAGCTATTGTATTAAGCTGTGGGGATTGTATTTACAATGACAGAAGAAAATAGAAATTGAATTCTCGTTAATATGCAGTTATTCTGGAAAATACACGGAGTTTCATGTGAAAGGCAAATGTAATACAGATGAAAATGGTGTTTCGAGACTGTCTTCAGTTCCCGAAGCTCTGAGATATGAAACTCTGTCAGTGAAACCCAGTTATCACTAGGCAGTAGTGCAGAACAGGCCCAGTTTGAAAGACTTAGATTGTATTTTCCTATTACTATTAGTCAGAAGACAAGATTTTTGTTTGAGGCATACATATGGTCACAGCACTAGATGTCCTCTTAGCAGAATACATGTAGAGATTTTTCAAAAGGCTCTAAGAGACTGTCTTGTCACAAGATCAACCATGCGCTGTGTCCTCACAGAAATCCACAGTCCTATGAACTGAACACAATGTATGACTCAGTTGGTTTGATGTGCTATAGGTAGTAAAACCCACAATCACAG